TTTTCCCTCCTCCTTTCTACTGCCTGGCTTGCCTAGGAAACAAAACAGGAGCAGAAAGAGAAAATAATCACTGTGCATTTATGGAATCAACAGGCATGATGTTTGGAGAAATAAATTTCCTACCCTCAAAGTCAAAGGCTTCCGGTGTTCCCAAGTTTAACTCTTGGAAGCCCTGCCCACCTCCCCTTATGACCATCTGGGCACAGTTTTTCTAGATTGTCACTGCTGTTGGGAACATTCACATTCAGCTGATGTTTTTTAAGTGCTGGTTATTTTGTACCAGGTGCTGGACTAAGGACTTCACAGGGACAATCACATTTACACCTAAAAATATTAGTAAGCAGATACTATTGTGCCCATTTTACAGATAAGGAATCCAGAGAGGGTAACTTGACCAAACACAGGTAGCTTAGCAGCATGGAGTATGTCTAACTCATTTGATTCTAGAGCATGAGAAGCAAATAGGTTTTTCTTGCTCTCTCAGCTGCGACATTTATAAAACAAGAGCAGTGAAAATATCCGTCTCCTACAGGGGTGAGGTTGTGAGGATCAAACAAAACAATACCTGTTAGATACTTTGAAACGATGCTAGGCATTGTGAGCATCATGATTATTATTTCTTTTATGTGGCATCATTTCTGGAGGAGGAGGGTTCTTCGTGGCCAGCTGCTATAAGCAATGACCTTGAACAGCCGCCCTGCTCTTAAATTACTCAACTTCCTCTACTTAATTTGAGCATATGACCCCAAACCAGCCCTAGGTTTGATTAGGTTTACCGATGTTTCCCTTCACTTATATATTTTACAGAAAATGAATTGTTAACCACATTGGATATTAAGTTAACAAGCATTAGGATATATATTTTTCAACACCATGGTAAAAGAAACCCCTTTATGGAATTGCTCATTTTTTTCTAGCTTAATTTGACATTCTAACACCATGTAAGTCTCGACTATAACTTATAGGACATGCAGGACGTAAAGGCTGATGTTGTCATCTGTACCCTTTTAAGCTCAACTTACATGTATTATGTGGACAGACCTCACTGTTTTGGGAACCAGCCACTGTTGAATGGCTTCTGAAAGAAATCCAGAATAAGCAAGTTATTGACTCCGCTCCAGAAAAGAAGGGGGAAAAAGAGAATTTGGGCTACTTCAGGTTTTATTGCGATATGTCCCATGAGTCTAATACAACATATTCTGTATTGCTTTGAAAATAGTTTAGGCAAGTTTTAAACCACACTGAGTTTTCCTCTGTGGCGAGTGTTGGGGCTTCACGTCTGTGAATTTTCTTTTACCATTAGCAAAGCTGCTTCAGCTTTCTGGCTTGACACTGTAAGATCTTAGTTTAACTTAGAAGGTGTTAATGTATCCCTATCAGAAGCGAAGATACTCTTGTATACTATCCTCTTGTGGGAAGATTGCTCCAGTTCTGCCTGGCACACTGCTCTCTCCAAGTAGCTCTCAGTGAAGAAACCCAATGGTGTCACATCTGAATGAAATGGGTTAGTAAAAAATGTAAACGTTACCAAAAAATGAAAATAACATGTGAACAGATAGTCTGTTCCCCTCTCCCCTGATTTCAGACAGCGTCTGCTGCAAGCCAAAGTATGCGGTTGAAATAGTCCCATCAAACCCATTGTTTGGTCTCATAGAATTAAATGTGTCCCCCTCCCTTTTTTTTTTTTTAAACAAAATTCAGTAATCTTGGCTTGAGTGCAGAGCCCTAAGTGAAATTGTTCGCAAATGCATAACATTTCTGTTTCGAGAAATTCTTCCTCCTCCCAAGCCTGAACATTCTTGACCTCATTTTTGGCTAAATGTCTGAACTCTCCCAAGAGCTCCCTGAGACCTAGAGTTACAGATAATGCCTCCTAACGAAACGAGGCTGCCCCTGGCCAGCATCCCCACGAGCTTGTCGACATTCCGAGGGGAGCGAGCCGTGCCTTGGGCCTCCTTTGCATCTCTGCCACCCGTACCTTTTGTGGAGTGAGCACAACCAGAAACATGACGCCTGTAGGAAACCTACTATGTGCCGGGTGAGTCTGCAGACATCATTCTCTGTCCTTGTGGGGCTGGTGGCCTTTGTCTCGGTTACAGACGGAGACTTCGACTTTGCGTGGATCCTAAATTTAACCCTTGGTCGCCCGAAGCCCTGAGCTGTTTTTATGTTTGCTTGGTTTTATTATTGTTTTTATTTTTTTTTTCCAAGTCCTCTATTTATTTTATTTTATTTCAGAATGTTATGGGGGTACCAATGTGTTGGTGACATGAATTGCCTTTGTACAGACGGAGTCAAAGTGACAAGTATGTCCATCACCCAGGTAGTGTCCTGCACCTGTTCGGTGTGACCTCACCCATCCCCTCCTCCCTGGTCTTGTTTTTAAATAACCATCCCTTCACCAGTGGCTGCAGTGACTCATTCTGCCAGGCATCCCCCAAATTCACTCCTCACGAACCTCCTCCTCACCCACTTCCTTTCCCACTCTGCACCCGGACCCAGAGTCGCTGACCAGAGGGATGTCCTTTTGGAACGGCCGTGTTCGGACATCTCACGTTTACGGAATTCAGGAAAGACCTTACGTTTAGTTTTACTAATACAACAGCTGCACGTAAGATGTCATTGGACGTATATAAAAATAACGGAAATGGTGTGCATTTGGGATTTGCACTGAAAACACAGCAGATGACTCTTCTGAATTCCTACATTAATTAGTTTAAATTATTAAGAAAATAGGCCCAACACTCACTTTCTCTGTGGTTCTGGGTAACAATTTCTCACAGGCCCCGGTTGTTACCTTCTCCAAACCGTCGATTTGTAATTTGCTTGTTTTTGGAAAACCAGTCGTGTGTTCGATCGGCGCGCTCCCGGCTGATTGGAAGGCGGCGGGAGGGACGGGGCATCTGCCGGCCCAGCCGCTCGCAGAAGGCTTCCTGCCGCGCTGAACTCGCCGCCGCTGGAGAGTGTCTAACACCCAGCTTCAACTAAGTGTTCGGGAGGCTTTCGGGGGTGGTTTAGAATAATTACCAGGAGGGTTTTGGTAAAAGCCTTTGTCCACAAAACGATTTAAATTATATAATTACACCCCCCGCCTCACTCTTCCTTCCTTTCCCTGGGCCGGTCCTTCCTGGCCACGGGCCTCCACCCCGGTGCGGGACACAGAGGGGCCACGGACTCGCCACTTCTCCGCCTCCCTCTCTGCCGTGCCCCCCGTGGGACTGGGCGCCTCGCGAGCAGTCGTTTGCCTGGTGGAGCCCATCGTGATCCCAAATCCCGAACCTCCGTCGAGGGGCCAAGAGCAATTTACCAAGTGCTGCAACTTCCTCCTCTTACCTGCTTCCATTTTGTGACCCTCGACCTTTTTCAGATGGCACGACCCTTCTGGGAGATGGGACCATTTCCTCCACCACAGAGTTTTCTGTCTACCCCCACCCTGGAAACCCCATATCTGTGCATCAACGTAGCATGGAATTATTACATTTTTTTTTTTTTGGTCTCTTTCCCTGTCCCCATTATCTTTAGCAATATGTATTGATTAAATGCATTCATTTGGCTGCCTCCCACCAAGCTGTTTTGGAGGACCTCTTTGGCCATGTGTTTTTAATGACTTCCCCTTCTGTCTGCCCTCACCTATTTTGGAAAAATTACTTTATATCGGTTTGGTTTCTGTGCATACGCTTTTAAACGTTATGTGCCAGTATAGGCTAGCAGTTTAGAAACACCAAAGCTTTTTCGTCAAAAACTACATCAAATAAAAAAATAAAATCTTTAAAAATAAATTTTAATTTTTATAATGTGGGAAAAAAAATTTTTAGTTTTATAATGTGGGAGGAAAACACATACACACTCTGTCAAAGAGAGGTAGTGATCCGGACCGAGATGAATACTAAATGGACCAGTTGTGTACAAGCGCAGTTTCTCTCTGCTCTAGGGCGTACGTTCTTCTACTACCGCCTGCGGTGGCTGCAGGAGTCGTTGATATATGTGTTGCGTAGGAGTATTGGAACGTCCAGTGTTCCAGTGAATCAATAACGCATTGTAGGAAAACAAGTAGTACCCGATGGTTTATCCATATGTTATTACGGGAGTCATAACTCACACTTTAAGAACGTGCTAACGTTGTCCATACTTGATACGGTCGTAATGTAGTATTAAGAATGTTCTTGGAATGTTCCGTTAATTCGTAATTTTAAAGTGTGAACATTTGGAGAATGTAAAAGTAGAGAAAGAATGAAACGTTATTTGACCATATATTTGTAAATACCTCATGTCTTAAATGATGATGAGATGGGGGCCAAAACCCACCAAAACAGCTAATAAAATATGTGTTAGTTTAAGATTCTTATATATATATCCTCTCATTTGACATTTTAATAACTTATAGTGCGTTTTAAAAGGTAGATCTTTAGCAAACTAAAGTAAGGAGTTTCTTTCCCCCATTAAACATTTATTTTTCTAATTTAAGAACAATCTGTACTTAAAAATTAACTTGGTGTGTTGTCTGAAGAATATGTCGGCAAAACAAGCCCTGCGTGTTTTCTTTATAATTAACGCTTTTAGACCAGAAATATGTATCGGTGTGGTCATCTACGCAAAAAATACACAGATAGCATAGTACATCAGTTTGTAACTTCCAAATTATTTTCAGTTTAAGAGTTGTATGGAGCTGAAGGTAGGCATTAAGAGAGAAAGAAAAACAGTGGTTGGTTATGTAAGTATTTGTCCTCCTGCTGCGTACAAAGAGCTGTGTGTCGTAAGAGATGAAATAACGCCGTCTTTCCTAGAATCGAGAAGACAGGTTTCCAGATATTTTTTATGTGATAGAAGTGGCTGGTAGAGTTGAATGTTGGCAGTCAAAAGATAGATTGAAAGAAAATTACCGTGGGGAGATTTCATAAGACAATTTGAAATCATCCCAGTAATACACAGCACACCACCCGGATTATACGACCTTGTGCGTTGTTTGACGGTGTACAGATCTCCCTTCGTGATGTGTTAGTCCCTCCGTGGGACCTCATACCAGAGGAAGGGACAGAACTTGTCTCTCTTGGCTGTCAACTCCGAGCCAAGCACTGGGCAGGGAGAGGAGTTAGCACATTTTATCGCCACGCTCACTCTGCAAAATAGATGTTAAAACAGTTCTGTGCATGGGATAAATGCAATTCAGACGAGTAACCCGAGGAAGACACCCAGTAAGCGGCAGAGCAGAGATGCAGCCTAAGCCTTTCCGATACCCCATCGTTGCCGTGTAGAGTTAGTCAAATGAAAAAAAGATACGTAAAATGATGAGAAGGTAGATTGGAGAACATACACTCCCCAGCAAAGAGTTTATCGCTAGGCCATGAAATGAACTTCCCTGTAAGATGCTTTCCCGTGGCATGTGTGATGTAATCCTGGGGAGAGCTCAGAGCCCACATGCTGCCTGATCCAGAATGGTTCTGGAGTTCTTGGCGGCTTAAGTTAGTGGTTGAAAGTCTTTCTCGTTTAATTTTTGCCTTTCAGGAGGGAATTTTTTCAAAATAAAACATTTAATTCTTTCTTTTCAAGGAAGGTGAAGAATGTTTGAGTAGCTTATCTTTACCTTAGATTCTGTATCCACCTAATGTCGATGAAAACCTGGAGTCTGGAGCCACAGGGTATGTTTCGGCATCTGGAACTTAGTTCTTCACGGAGCGGCGTCGTTGTGTTGTTTCGCTTCGGAAGCGATGAGCGTCCAGAAGCTTCGTGTGCACCTCACGGGCCAGCCTCGCTTTCCACAGCCCGTGGTTACGTGGCTGTGCGCTTGCGTGTTATGCGCAGACCGCTGCCTTCTCTGTACTGATGCTAATTTGTGTGAATCTGCTGACTAGTTTTTAAGAGCCCTGGTACAGCGGCTGAGCCTTCAGCTAGTGACCTTGTTTCGAGAGAGTCACTGTCGTTGTCCAGCAAGATTCCTGCAGGCGTTTATAACACTCTGCTGCATTTTGCTCTCCTTAAAGGAAGGAAGTAAAAACAGCAACCCGTGTTGCCGGTAAGATGCAGGCTTCGTAAACTTACGTCCTTTCCGACAAAGATGAAAGGTTCCTGCCTCCCAGAAATGACCTATCATTAGCCCTGGTTGTGTGCTCCCTCTCCTTACTGGTGGCAAACTAGTGAAGGAAAAGAACAAATCCAAGAAT